CTGTATCAATGCACCTGCACACTTAAGTACTCTCACGGAAATCAAATTTTTCTTGCTTCTTCATCCCTCTAACTGAGCTATTGTGGTAGTCGAAGGTGGTCCAATGGTGATGCCAAGCAGAAGGTTCCCAGGTGTGAATACAAAGTTCAATACGGATATGGAGTATCCGTAGAACTAGGGATGGCAAAAAAATCCGCGCCCGCGGATATCCGCGGATAAGATCCGCGACGAATAGTTGACACCTGCGGATATTTATTACCCGCAACCCGCGAATAGCGGATATTTTAATACCCGCTTATAAACAGGTCGGGTGTGGGTATTATATTATCCGTACCCGCGGATACCCGCTACCTGCAAAAAATAAAAATAAAAATTTAATTTATATTTTATTAAGTTAAATTTAATTAAAATTAACATTAATTTATATTTTACAAGATTAAATTTAATTAAAATTGAATTTAAATTTATATTTAATTTAATTTATATTATATTTTATAAATTTTTTGTAATTCTATTTAAATTTTATTTTAATAATTTATTAAAATATATATTTTTTTTAATATTTGCTGGTCTGCGGATATCCACTGGTATCCGCGGGTTTTAAAATATCCGCGGATATTTTTTAAGCGGGTCTCCGTGCGGGTAGCGGGTGGATTTTTTTTTGTCGGGTCGGTTTGCGGGTATGCACTATCCGTGCCCGACCCGACCTGTTGTCATCCCTACTTAAAACACTTAAACGGATCTCGAAATCCGTAGACGAATATCGACATCCGTTGAAGGGCAAACTAACGTCAATATCCGTGGACAGATTTCGAGATCTGTTTAAGTGTTCTACAGATACCCCATATCCATTACCGTCTTTCGCGTTTCTCTTCTTCTTCATTTAACATAACAGAGGCACATAGTATCATCCAACACACAACACCCAGCACATAAACAATACATGTTCACAAATAACCTTGGTGAAAATGAGAAATTGGAAAAAGAGGAAGATGAAAAATTGGGAAAAGAGGAAGATGAAAAATTGGGAAAAGAGGAAAAGAAGAATAAGAGAGGAAGAGAGAAAGTAAGAATGTGGGGGTGAGATGTGATATGCAGCTGAGTGAATAAGAGAGTAAAAAGTTAAAATTTAAAAAAAAATTAAAAAGAGATAAAGGATAAAAGTAAAAATGATATTTTTGAAATTAAAAATTTTTTTAAAAAAATAGGAACCGTAAAGAGAGTAACTCTCAATCATGTTATGAGAACAAATTGACGTGTCTAGTTTCACATGTGGTACTGATTTCAATATCAATATTTGCTTTATAAATAGAACTTTTTTATAAATAGAACTTTTACCATCAATAGAAGCTTTCAACATTTGAGTTGGATTAGTAAGTCAGAGAAAGAAGTTGAGTGAAGATATAATATTTGTCATTCAGTAAATTCATTCATCACTATTTTCCGTAAATCATGTGGTTGAGAAATTGTGGTGGTTGAAGATGTTCGGGAAAATCATATATATCTATAGGTAGCGATACGTTGGCACGTTGAATTTTTTATACATTCATTTCACACAAGGTGATAAGTCGTTTAAAAAATAATTTTTTAAAATTTGTATTTGAACGTATTTCATTTAAATTATTATTTTTAAAATAAATTTTTTTATGTGTATTAATATTTTATTAAATGATTTAATTTAAATTATATTTAAAAATTAATTTATATAAAATTTTATTTTAAATTTTATTTTTTAAATAATTTAATTTAAAATTTTAAAAATAAAATATAAAAATGTTTACATATATATATAAAAAATCTACAAATATTTATTTTCGAGTATTTCATCGAGTAACAAAACGGGTGATAAACAAATTTTTCTAGAAAGATTAGGTAACATTCCAAAATCTAGCAGTTATCATCTTTACATATACACTTGAGTTCCTTCTTATCTTGAAAGATAAAATTGCCAGCAATACATTATTACATCACATTACAAAATGACAATTTTTACAGATTTTACATTATGCGTTATGAGCTATATATTCCATTTTCAACTTGGCATCATTATCAAAACTTTATCTTGAAATAAGATTTCATTTTCTTTTATCAAGAAGAATTAGAAAATCTTATCACGTTGTTCATTATTTAGGAAACATGATATACGTCCAAGTTAAAAGTGGTTGGGTTCATTTAGTGTCCTTTGAGCTATTATGTGAATTCTGTTAGAGGAATCCTTGTTAAATGCATTATAGTATGTGGAAAAGTAATGATAGAGTCATGTTGATAGAGCGAAAAGACTTAAATTTGATATCAGCTTCAGCTTACTGTTGTTGAAAACATAAATAAGAAATATTGTGTAATAGTAGTGGTAGTAGAAATATCAAATGTGAAAACCAGATATTACATGGAGCAGTAAAATTTAAGGTTTATGTCACACTTATGATTGTCATCACTGTTCTATATGACTTTTGTCGTTCCTTAACATTTGACCATAAAGTGCCATAGTATATGGATTCTTTTATAATTTTTTAAGTATATTCAATGTTCTTGTTTGGATAATTTAAAAGTTTGAATTACTTATATTGGGAATCTCAAAATTTTGAAATGAGGAGCTTCATATATTATTAGGTCATACACTTGGGTGTCTTCTTACCACGACGACTCAAGGGTTTGAAAGGTCTAAAACAACCTAAAAGTGAGGTATTTTTTTCATTAATAAAACACTTTATGTTAATGTGTATCACAATTTTCTTTAATTTGTTTTCAAGTTTTTTGTGATATAAAATTATCTATTAAATTGTCATAATTAATTTTATTTAATAATTCTTTTTCAAAATAAAGTGAATCCATTCAATCTTTATTGACAATGTTGATTTTAGATAAATTTTTATTTTCTTTAGCTTTGAAAAACTTCTTTCGATTGAAGCAGTGTATACTAGAATTGTTAACATTATTCTATAACTTATATAAGCATTTGAAAAAAAAATCTATTTCTTTATATAATTAAGAATGAGTTAAAACAATTAAATCTAATTCTGATTAGTCAAGAAACACTAGTAAAAAAAGCGGATTCTGACGTCCCATATACGCTTCGGTTATTGAGAAACCGAAGCGTATAAGGTTATAGACCTCGGTCCCCATCCAACCCGAGGTTCAAAAGCCATATTGCTTCGGTTAACACAAAACCGGTGCCTATATACACCTCTGCTGCGCTGTCTGAAAAGTCTGACACGTAACTACTGTCTCGGTTTGCTACGAAACCGGTGCCTAAACCCCTTCCTATTGCTTCGTTTGGAATGAGACCGAAGCCTATACACCTCTGCTGGTCACTGAAAAGTCTGAACGCCTCCCTATTGACTCGGTTAAAGGTAGAACCGAGGCCTATTACCCGGTCAAATCAGTCACCACACCTGACCCGCTTTTTCATTTTTTCCTCTTCTTTCCTCTAACACTCTCATCTCACTCTCATCTGCCCTCTCGTTCTTTCCTCATGTCACTCTCAGCTCACTTTCATCTGGCAGAAACAGAGAGGGCGCGATCTCTCTTCTCCTCTCCCACTTGACAGCCACGGTGCGACGACGAGACGCGATGGTGGCCGGCGTCGAAAGCGGAGGAGAGGCGCGATGGTGGCCGGCGTCGAAAGCGGAGTGGGGGCGCGATGGTGGCCGGCTTCGAAAGCGGAGGGGAGTCGCGATGGTGGCCGACGTCGAAACCGGAGGGGAGGCACGATGGTGGCGACGAGTATTGCGGCGGCGATGATGGGAGGCTCGCCGATCTAAGGCGTTTGGTGGGAGGTTCGTCGATCTACGAATCGCGGTGGTTTCTGTGGAGGCGAGGTGGCAGCTAGGTCACACCGAGACCGCGGCGGCGATGATGGGAGGCTCGCCGATCTAAGGCGCGCGTTTGGTGGGAGGTTCGTCGATCTACGAATCGCGGTGGTTTCTGTGGAGGCGAGGTGGCGGCTAGGTCACACCGAGACCGCGGCGAGAGCGCACCGAGGCCTCAGCGAGGTGGCGGTGAGGTCGTGGCGAGGTGGCGGCAAGGTCGTGGCGAGGTGGCGGCAAGGGTGTCCTGCAGCGGTGGCGTTTCTGCGAGAAGGGGAGGCATCAACCTCCATCTTTTCTTCTCTCTGGTTTGGCCTTGTAGGAGCCTCTCTTCTTCCCCAAATCGTTCTCAGAGTTGGTGATGACAACCTCTACAGTGCTCATTGCATCAATCCCATACCTTTTTTTTCTGTGTTATTTTGGAAGCGATTTCTTTGTAGTTGCTATTAGCGTGTCCTTTTGAGATGTGATTCTGTATTTTTGAGATTTGGTTCTGTGAAAGGGAATGAAAATTCAATAACATTCTTGGACTGTGGACTGTTTTGCTTGAACTCTAGATTGTTTATTGTTTTGCTTGAACTGTGGATTGATTATTGTTTTGCTTGAACTTGAACCATGGACTGTGCGAAGAGGGAGAAGTGGATTGTGCAAGGAAGAAGGAGAAGTAGACTGTGAAACAAAGAGGGAGAAATGGATTGTGCAAACCAAAAAAAATGACATGTTATTGCCTCGGTTATCTAAGAACCGAGGCATAATCTGATTTCGTTTTAACCCGGTTCAGAACTGGGGCATAAAGCCACCCATTTTTTATCTCGTTCGTATACGTCTCGGTTGCAGAACCGGTGCCTATAACCAAAACTAATCGGTGCTATTTCTCCTTAATGCACTAGTGAAAGTAAATACAATTATAGACTAGTAGTATTTTGAAGTTTGAAATTTCATGTGGTTAAATTTAATTTTCAAATTTTAACCTTATTATAATTTATTAAATAACTTAAAAGATTACGAAACAAAATAATATATGTATATAATATATATATATATATGTATGTATATATATATATATGTATATATATATTCAAAGACTTAATTTTTTAAAAGTTTTCTCCTTTTGATAAATTTGAAAAAATATAATTGCACCAATTAAAAAAAAACTGATAGTAAGACTCTATATAGAACAATGAACATGTACATTGCATATAGCATTATGGTAGTTACTTCAAATAAAATATTGGAATGCTTTAAAAAAAATGTAGAATAAATATATTACGGATATCACTTCGATTACTTGTGTTCATCCATGCTTATGGGATCCACAAGTAATGCAATAATGTCATCCTTCCACAGTTTCCCATCTGTGTATTTATCTTGGAAGTTTTCATAGGTAAGTTCAGTTATGCGGGCCACATTAATAATACAATCTAGTACATGCTTCGGAATAAGGTCTAACTTGAGACACTCTTCATTTATAACCTTCCACAAATCTTCAATCTCTTTTTTAATGAATTTGTACGCATTTTCCTGTGAAATTCCATATTGGTTCATGCAACATTCAACTGCCGAAACCACGTGCATTCTTTGTTGTTCAAACTACAAATAATCAAAGCAAATTCAAAATACCAAGCACCATTAGATATGCCATACAATCTCCATGTCAATGGAGGTAAGCCAAAGCTAGTGGATGGTACGACAATGATAAAGATTTAATGAAGAATTGGTTCAAAATTAATAGCAAATGACTTATTATGAATTATAAAAAATTGTGATTAATTAAGTATAATAAATTTAACTAAATATAAATAAACTTAACCACTTTCACCATAATTAGTAATTTTATTTCAAATATTCATTAATTAACTTATTGCTTTCCATGTTTTTTTTCTGATAACAAATTCTAGTGAAAGACACTTTAGAAAAAGGAAATGATTTTTATAATTAAATAATATTACAATCAACTTTCTTAATTACACACAGGTTATAATTAATTCTGTTTAGATTTGAGTCAAAAGAAAATATATTGTACCTTATGTGACGATATGTCATTCTCAAGTCTACCAATAAGTGAAACAGATTTCAAGATTGGTGGATTACTCGAAATCCAATCTAACAATACGGTTTGGAATGAAGATGTTGATAGAAGAATAAATGATGTTATCATAAGAATATATGCAGAAGATATAACTCCATTATCCTTATATTCTTGATATGTTGGAATACAAATCTCTTGACTCCATTTTGCTTCAGTCAAGTAGGCTCGTGCCAAGTTATGAAACTGCAAGTAAAATAACTTGAATGTTAATTATTTACTTTATAGGAAAATTATGCAAAATATTAATTAATTAACTAGTTTAAAAGTATAAGAATGAAAAACCTACAGCTTCTTTAACCCATTGCAACACTTTGTTCGAGTTTTCACTTTCTATGATAGCCAACTTTACTTCATCACACACTTCTATAATTGCATTAAGCACTACTTTCATGCTATCTGGGAGAGATTGAATGGAACTAATATCCCATCTGAAAATCATACGAATAAAAGGAGAATTATGAATTCAAATTGAAAACAATAAATTCATGAGACTGAAATAGTAGAATAAAAATAATCAACTGGTGAAAGCTTTTCAAATCATTAAATTTCCCATTGTGATAATATCATATAATTTGAACCAAGATCAACCTCTGAATTGCCTGTGTGAGGAGTTCAAGTTCTTCTATTGTGCCGTAGGCATCATAAGTATCATCTAGAAGAGAGATACGTCCAACTAATTTGCTCCCTATCCTTCTTGCAATACTATATTCAGCTTCATAAGACAGGGAAACTGGCCATAAATAACACTCTGCTATTCTTTCTCTTGCATATGGGACCTTTGTTGCAAATTCTGACGTCTTCCAACATCTGCATAAAGAAAAAACACAGCTAATGTTATTGATAGTTGATAGCTTAATAGCAATTTAACTATTTCATCTTTTATAATTTAAATGTTTTGTGGTATAAGCATAAGGCAATGTTATGAACACATATAGTAATTTTGCTTGTGGTGAACAAACATATATTTCTGGCCAATAAAACTTTTCTTAGTTCTTCATATGTTTTGTTAAAACTATTTATTCTACGAGTACACGGTTACAGATTTGTAATACTTACTTGGTGATACTCCCGATTTCTATTTTGTGCAATCCTTGTAGCATATTGAAATCTAGTTTTGAAAATGTAAGAAGAACTTTGCAATGGGAAGGATTTGATTCATAAAAGGAAATGTAACGTCTGGCCTCCAACCTGGGAACTCCCCTATGAAGAGGTTTCCTTAAGCAATGACTTATTTGTGCAGCAAAGGATGAACTCAATTGATTAATCATGGAATTTAGATGAGTTTGTGTGAAATCAAGAACTTCATCTAATATATCTTCCCCATGAACCCTTAGTTGTGCAGCTTCAAACAAACTCCACAATCCTTGTACATCTTTGGCAATCTTTTGATCAAAGTCTCCCTTATTGTTCTTGAATTTGTTAAATATATCTGTTAGAAGTCACCAACACATGAGTTATATGGGATTTTAATCAAGAATCTATCTATATAATATGATTCATGAATATTAGATTCCTTGGTAACAATATCATGGCAAAGTTCTACATACCTGACGAAATATGATACCCTCTTTGCCTAAGCAAACGAAATAGTAACGCCATATAGTGAAGACAACCTTCTTCTATTATGACATTATCATTTGTAGATGAGTTGTTGATTTGCTCTAATGCTTCATCAATTTCATGTTGAAAATGATAAGATATACCCAAACGTTGCAAGGAATCAATGAAATTTAGTTTTTGTAAGATACTATTGCTTGAAGATAGAAACATCTTCTTCACTTCTTCCTTCTGCATTTGAAATTGTTGCTTCATATTGTCATTGATTTCCTGCATTCAGTTGCAAAGAAAGAAGTTTTTGTAATGAAGATGGGATGGAAAGAGGAACTAAAAACATGCACGTGTGAATAATTCGAAACCTATACTAAGCTTACACAATAATAAAAAAAAAACAATTGATGTAGGAGGATTTTCTATATCTCTAAAAGATTTTGTAAAGTCTTGATTGATCTTAAATAGGCTGTAATGGTTAAAATTGATTTAATAATTTCATTCATATTTTAAAAAAATGGTTTAAAAAATGTCGTCAATATGTTTTAGAAAGATTTAAACACATTGATTCTCATTGTTATTTTGTAAAAATATGTATGATCCTATTGTTGAAGCCGAGTCCCTCAAGTTAAAAAGGTTTTAATAATAACAAAACACTCATACTACAGATACTACAAGACAAGGAGATTATCTAATTGATACATATACTTGAAATATGAAACAAACATGTTTAGCAGACCAAAATATATATTCTGGAAATGTGTTTTTATATGCTTAATTTTTTATATTTAAGTTTTATTAGTATTTATAAAAATTGAAAATTTGACACATGCAATAAACAAAGTCTTGATACTAGACGAATCTAAAAAGTAGACGAGTCAGTACATTAGATGACCTAAAATGTTAAACGTCCTAAAGCATTAGACAACTTTTTAAGTCCCTAGACAAATCAAGGATTTAGACAACTCAAATTGTGTAGACTCACATGAATTAAATACCATATTTCTATTTGACTAAGTTCTTTCCTTTAATCTATGATTTATTATTTGAATTGATAATTTTATTTAATTATTTGAAATTGAGAATTGATTAAATGAGTCCCAAAATGTTAAATAATTATTTTATCGTAATTATATTCTGAAAAAAAAGGTTTTGAATCAACGGTCAAATCATATTTCTTTATTGAAATAATATACCTTATTGAAGACCAAATTATTCATTTACTGAAAATTTGAAGATATTATTGTGATAACGATACAATTGGATAATCACGTTGCTGAGATTTTCCTTTACAGGAAAAATGATCAATGTTGGAGAAAGAACAAATTCAAATTAAGCTTATGCTTATACAAGAATGGAAAGAAGATATTTCAAAGAGCATAACAAAGGAGAATTAAAGTTTTGAAGAATGACAATGAAAAAATAATCTAAAGAATCCAATTGAAGAATTAATCAAGTCATTCCTTATTCAGAGAAATCATGATTTTTTTTGTATTACTCATAAATTATATATTTTTGTTTATATTTAATTTAGTCTCACAAAATCATAAGTTAAAGTAACACCCCATCTATATTTATTTGTAAGAGAGCATGTGCAATACCATGCTCTGCACAATCAGCCACAGATGAAGGGATTCAAATTATTAAGCTTATCAAACTCTGAAGAAAAAGGTGCCGCAGTTTGTTGTGAAAAGAAGTTTCAAAGTCTGCATTAAGACTCACCTAGTAATGGCTGAATATTATATAATCTATTTGTGAATGGAAAAAGAAAAGAAAGTACCAGTGAATGTGAATGATACTGAAGGAAAGTATCTCCCCAAAAGCTTGGAGGAAAATTTGCACAAGGTCTCGTGGTGATGTGAGGTGGTTCATGTTGAGTCGAAAGTAGAAGTGTGGAAGGTGCAAGAGACATGCTATTTTTCTTTCAAAGCTTTCTTCTTCTGATTTATGAAAAGATGAATGGTTTGGTCCAAGGCTATAGGGTCTATATATATATATATATATATATATATATATATATATGGAGGAATTCATAAACTCTAGTTGCAATTACAATCACATACATGAAGCAACTCACGGGGTAAACCATGGTTTGTTCCTATATATGCCTTTTATTTATATTTACTTGTTATTTTTTCAAATTTTAGTAATTACTTTAAATATTTGTATGTGCATTTTAATTCCAATTCACCCTTCTACTTATCATTTTAATTAATAATAATTGTGATTTTTACATTAAATCTAATATCTTTTTTATGTAAATAACTGTAAGAAAACTAATATTATTTAAAAACCGAAATATATATATATATATATATATATATATCGCAGGAGTATCGAACACTTCTTAACGCCAATCGTTTGTTGAGGTCGACACTCATTTTGTTGATGTCGACATACTGGTAGTCCACAAGCCCAGCAACGATGTCGCGACATATATCGCTCGCACGACATTTCATATGTTTATGTCGACGCAAACAGTGGTCGACATATAGTGAGCGATATCATAATAAACGGTTCAGCAGTTAAGCATAAGCAGTTACAAATATTAGCTAACGCCACGAATCACGCAAGTAATTGACTCAGTATCAGACACGACCTAGCAGTTACAACTTCAAGTAGTCCACTTCGGTAACTTGGTCCGGATTTCCAGGTAAACGGTTATTTTCCTGTTTTAAATATGCCAAGCACACCAGAAAAAAGGTACGTTTTTCCCCTTAGAGAAATTAAGAGAGAGAAATTATTCTTCTTCTGATCATTTGAACCGAAAAGATTCAGGTGACCCCTTTGCTGACTTGAGCGTCGGAAGTGCCTTTGCAGGTACCCAGCCCACTTTCCCCCTCAGAGAGGATAACGCAGGAAGAGAGATATCACAGTAACTTTATTTTTTTTTGCACACAGGGGAAGGAGCAGTGGAGATTTGTTTGAGGTTACGTATCTCGGTTGCACATCCATTACAGAAAATTACTAAAAATTGAAAAGATAACAAGTAAATATAAAAAAAGAAATCATATGTAGGATCACAATTTAAAATTGTTAAAGTTATTTCAAAAATTTCTTTTAAATATCTTTTGAAGGTAATGTAATTCAATTATTGAGAAAGTAAATAGTAAAAACTTGCAAATTGAAAAAAAAAAAAAACTCCTATGCCAACAAAAGTTGTTTTGTAGTGAACCAATTGTCAAGTAAATACATAATCACGTATAAAATGAAGCATCCTAATTAATGTTTCCCTCTTGGAATGTCTTTTTTTTTTCTTTTATTCTTTTGGGATGCTTCTATGAATGTCACGTGACAAATAGAAGTAGCCATGTATGTGGTTACAGGGGCTTCTATTATCAACTTGCAGTTGCATTTTCATAAAATTAGTGATGGGGACCAAACAAAGCGACAATCTTAGAATAAGTCGTTAGACAATCTTACAATAACATGCCACCAACTTTGTCATTATTCTTCCATTTGCAAGTGTCATTCTTATCATATTTCTGTAACACCAACCACAAAAAATTATAAATGAATCACTAGTGCAGTAAGGACAAATGACACCGATTACTTTTGCTTATAGGCTCCGGTTTTACAACCGAGGCGTATACAAACGAGATAAAAAATGGTACATTTTATGCCTCGGTTGCGGGTCGAGTAAAAAAGAATAAGATTATGCCTCGGTTTTCAGGTAACCGAGGCAGTAACGTATTTTCTTTTTTTCAGTCGTCCTCAACCGTCCTCAGCCGTCCTCAATCGTCCTCAGCCATCCTCAATCGTCCTCAACCGTCCAGCCATTTGGGGGTTCACAGCAAGAACAACAACATATCAGAAATACACAACACAGAAGCTTCATTGCACAGTATACAACATCAACAAAAGACATCATCAACAAAAGAGAAGTTTCACGGAGGCCGTCGGAAGTGAAGATCGTTTCGCGTGCCCCAGATCGTGACAGTACTGGAGGCGGAGGCGACCTAGTCGTTGTTGGGGGAGAAACGCGAGATGGTGGCCGAGGCAGAGGCGACCCAATCGCCGTTGGGGGAGAAACGTGCGATGGTGGCCGAGGCGAAGGCGACCCAGTCGCCGTTGGGGGAGAAACGCACGATGGTGGCTGAGGCAGAGGCGACCCACTCGCCGTTGGGGGAGAAACGCCGATGGTGGCCGAGGCGGAGGAGACGAACTCGCCAGACCAATTGGGATTTTCTGATTTAGGGCTTCGCGATCTGGAGCAGTGTCGGAGGCAGAGGCAGAGGCAGCAGTGTCGCCGGCAGAGGCAGCAGTGTCAGAGGCAGAGGCAGTAGTGATGGAGGTGGCGCGGTGAGCCGTGGAAGTGGTGGAGGAACCCGCGACGCAGAGGCCGCGATCTGGAGCGGTGGATGAAACCCTATTTCCGGCAGAGGCAGCAGTGTCGGAGGCAGAGGCAGCAGTGATGGAGGTGAGCACTGGCAGCACAAGGGTGGCGCGGCGAGCCATTGAAGAGGTGGAGGAACCTGCGACGCAGAGGAAGAATGGAGAGCAGGAGGAAGGAGAAGCTGAGGAAGGAGAAGTCGTGAGTGTTGATTTGACGCAAAGACGCTAAGTGCAGAGTGGCAGCGAAAATAAATTTTTTGCTTTGGCATCGGTTAAAAGGCCAACCCGAGGTATAAAGTGCTGGAAAACATCTACGGTTTCGGTTCCTGATGAATCGGTGCCTTTAAGTCTAGCGTAGCAGGTAAAGTTACAGGTGTAGCAGTGATATAGGCCTCGGGTCTTAGATTAACCGGTGCAATATCGTTGTTCTGCCTCGGGTCTTAGCTTAACCGAGACATATATGTTAGCTTTATTTACGGTTCTGCCACCGCGCTTTTATACGCTTCGGGTTTACTTAAACCGAAGCGTATATAGCGCTTTTAAAGCCTTTTTTTACTAGTGAATTCATCAATTCAATAAATATATATATATATATATATATATATATATATATATATTTCGGTTTTTAAATAATATTAGTTTTCTTACAGTTATTTACATAAAAAAGATATTAGATTTAATGTAAAAATCACAATTATTATTAATTAAAATGATAAGTAGAAGGGTGAATTGGAATTAAAATGCACATACAAATATTTAAAGTAATTACTAAAATTTGAAAAAATAACAAGTAAATATAAATAAAAAGCATATATAGGAACAAAATTTAAAAGTGTTATAGTTACTTCAAAATGATGTTATTATTTGTTACAGGCCACATACATATATAGTTTCTTTTAAATATCTTTGGAAGGTAACATGTAATTCAATGAAAGTAGTAATTCTAACATTTGATTAAGACGTCAACATGATTATATAGTTAAGTGACATATGTGAACACAATATTTTATNATATGGAGGAACTCATAAACTCTAGTTGCAACTATAATTGCATACATGAAGGAACTCACGGGGTAAACCATGGTTAGACTAACAAGAGTGTGTACATCATGTCTTACATGTGACATTAATCTTACTCTACAAGTTTGACACATGGCACTCATCTCACTTTGCATATTTGGCATGTGATTCTTGTTTGACACAAATATTGATAAAATATTGTGTTCACATATGTCACTTAACTATATAATCATGTTGACGTCTTAATCAAATGTTAGAATTACTACTTTCATTGAATTACATGTTACCTTCCAAAGATATTTAAAAGAAACTATATATGTATGTGGCCTGTAACAAATAATAACATCATTTTGAAGTAACTATAACACTTTTAAATTTTGTTCCTATATATGCTTTTTATTTATATTTACTTGTTATTTTTTCAAATTTTAGTAATTACTTTAAATATTTGTATGTGCATTTTAATTCCAATTCACCCTTCTACTTATCATTTTAATTAATAATAATTGTGATTTTTACATTAAATCTAATATCTTTTTTATGTAAATAACTGTAAGAAAACTAATATTATTTAAAAACCGAAATATATATATATATATATATATATATATATATATATATTTATTGAATTGATGAATTCACTAGTAAAAAAAGGCTTTAAAAGCGCTATATACGCTTCGGTTTAAGTAAACCCGAAGCGTATAAAAGCGCGGTGGCAGAACCGTAAATAAAGCTAACATATATGTCTCGGTTAAGCTAAGACCCGAGGCAGAACAACGATATTGCACCGGTTAATCTAAGACCCGAGGCCTATATCACTGCTACACCTGTAACTTTACCTGCTACGCTAGACTTAAAGGCACCGATTCATCAGGAACCGAAACCGTAGATGTTTTCCAGCACTTTATACCTCGGGTTGGCCTTTTAACCGATGCCAAAGCAAAAAATTTATTTTCGCTGCCACTCTGCACTTAGCGTCTTTGCGTCAAATCAACACTCACGACTTCTCCTTCCTCAGCTTCTCCTTCCTCCTGCTCTCCATTCTTCCTCTGCGTCGCAGGTTCCTCCACCTCTTCAATGGCTCGCCGCGCCACCCTTGTGCTGCCAGTGCTCACCTCCATCACTGCTGCCTCTGCCTCCGACACTGCTGCCTCTGCCGGAAATAGGGTTTCATCCACCGCTCCAGATCGCGGCCTCTGCGTCGCGGGTTCCTCCACCACTTCCACGGCTCACCGCGCCACCTCCATCACTACTGCCTCTGCCTCTGACACTGCTGCCTCTGCCGGCGACACTGCTGCCTCTGCCTCTGCCTCCGACACTGCTCCAGATCGCGAAGCCCTAAATCAGAAAATCCCAATTGGTCTGGCGAGTTCGTCTCCTCCGCCTCGGCCACCATCGGCGTTTCTCCCCCAACGGCGAGTGGGTCGCCTCTGCCTCAGCCACCATCGTGCGTTTCTCCCCCAACGGCGACTGGGTCGCCTTCGCCTCGGCCACCATCGCACGTTTCTCCCCCAACGGCGATTGGGTCGCCTCTGCCTCGGCCACCATCTCGCGTTTCTCCCCCAACAACGACTAGGTCGCCTCCGCC